CGCGCTACATGTAAACGATATTCTTTGTTGTATTTTGCTGTCAAAATAACGGAGTTCTTTTGGAATTCTTCAGCTTTTAAGAACTGCCGCTTTCTCCGGTAGTGGGCGGAACTAATGCGCAAACGGCAATCTCATTGGCTGGCGCTCACCTATTATAGTCCCTCATTTGATTTCAGCAAATCAGTTCGAGCGAACGCACACAACCTGATTAATATTCATGAATCCAGCATCTCATTAATCCTTAGTGCGTTTTATATTGTTCTTAGTAGAATTCGTATCATTATCAGTATTTTTGTAAGGTTTTTTTTTTTAACCAATTTTTTTTTTCCAGAAACACTGAATGACCAAAAAAGCACCATCACCAGTCCAGTTAAAATGTTCAGATAAAATTACTAATATGCATTCAAACATGGTTATCAAGTTTTAACTCTAATTACTAAAGTTCTATCATTAAATAATACTTGATTTTATTATGATGATATTATAATGCTTGAGTGACTGATGTTAAGAGTGTACTTTCAGATATTTAAAAAAAACTGTGCAATTTACAAAACATTTATTTATTTTATTTATATATATATACAGTGGGTACGGAAAGTATTCAGACCCCCTTAAATTTTTCACTCTTTGTTATATTGCAGCCATTTGCTAAAATCATTTAAGTTAATTTTTTTTCCTCATTAATGATTTTTTTCCCAAAAACACTGTAATGTTTCCAAAATTGACAGGTACTGTATAACATTGTTACTATATTGCTTAAATACCATTAAATGGATGGATTTGTGGCCCAAGATCCTGGGATAGGCTTCAGCCCGCGCAACCCTAGAGAGGATAAGTGGTTTGGAGAGTGAATAGATGGATGGATGAACTTCCAAAATACTTTACCTTGCTTTATTTTTTTTTCTATCCTGACTGCTGTCAGCCTAAAAAATACCTTTCCATTACGGTGTTTTGCAATTTTCCTCATTATACCTGTGCTAAATACCTTTCCATTATCGTTGTTTGTCATTTTGCCTCATTATACCTGTGCTAAACCTATTAAAATTAAGAAACTAATGAAAGTGGTTTTTTTTTTTAATAGGATCCTATGTACCCAGCCTCAACCATTCATCAGAAGGACTGTGAAAGCGGGAACTCTTTGAACCACCAGTGGCAGTTTCCACGGGATGAAAAAGGGCATAGTAGTGGATGATAGGGATACTGACATTAACCTGCCAAAAAAGGTTCCTCTATGACATCGCCGCGAAACCCCCTTTTTGGTTCTTCCTAACACCTGTTGTGATTGGCCGAATACCTCAAGCGTGTGACGGAAATGTTACGCCCCTCACATACTGTGATGATGCCGTGTGTCCCGACAAGACAAGACCAGTAAAACCCATAATAAACAAGGCATTTGTTGCATCCAGTGGGGACATAATTACTGATTATAATGACTTATACTGTCTTTTTACGCGGTGCGTTGCGTATCGCGCCAGCTAAATATAAAACCATGTCTGCATTTGTGATTGGAGAAACGACAAACAACAAGCGCTACTCTACACTAGGGCTGGTCTGAATACCATTTTTTTGAGCTTCGAAGATTC